CTTTCNCGTTAGAAGTAATTTTAACGTTAAATGCACATACATACATGCATACATATGCATACATGTATATATACTTTCACGAATTTAAAATTTTATTAAGAATTTTTGTTAACTTTTCGGGTATGCATTTTTGTAGCCTATTTAACTTTAGTACAAGAATGTACAAGTTTGAATTAAAAGTCAACGGTAGTAGGCTACACCTACTTTATTTTTTTAGAATAAGGCCATTCAACTTTAACTTATTTGGTTTATGTTATGCAACAGACTAAACGAAATTTCATTGAAATCATTGGGGCAATTAGGTCCTCTTCCATTGCCGCGTTCTTCCTTTATATACGTTTGCAGCGAATTGCATGTATTAATGGCCCTCAAAATCGTATGTAGGCAATAATATTATCAGCTGTTTGCTTCAGGACAAAATCAAATGTGCCGAACTGAACGGTGAACCGTATTTCAGCACCCTCTCCGGCAAAAATCTTTTGAGAGCAAATAAAATGTTGTCCGGACACGAATGGTGAACCCGCCTTAAGGTAGTCGGTTAATGCCTGACCTCTTTTTTGGCTGCGGATACCTTTAACTATTTGCGGACTGTTCTTAAATAGATAGGTTTCGTCGCCGCTCAGCGAACGCTTGACGAAAACAGGAAGTTGCATAGTCTTTCTGGTGGGTGTGTGACAGAACACTATCAGATTAGGATTCACGCGGTGAAACTAAACATTACACTGGATTCTCACTGTAGCAGTCATTCCAATACTTTCTCTCTTAATCTGTCCAGCTTTTGCGAGACTTTTAAACTAGTCCTGAGGAGCTCTACGGAACTGACATCTGCCGCCTGCGAAACACCATCCTTTTTGATGTGTAAACATCATCAGCTTCTTATGCAAACAAAGAAACATTTCTAGAGTAGTTTGGGGCTATTTCGGGACCATTTTGGGGCTAATTGGCATCTAGTTTAGTTCCATTTGGGCACCTGTTCAGGATCATTTCGGGACTAGCTCGAGATCATTTCGGGGTCTGTTTGGAAACATTTCGCGACTATTTCATGACTATTTGGGGGCCATTTCGGGTATAGTTCTGAATCATTCCGAGACTAAATCTCTACTAGATCAGGACCATTTCGGGAATACTTCAGGACTATTTTTTGGAATATTATGAGACTGGCTTGGTTCGGTTTCGGACCGTTTAAACATTTGTTCGAGATCATTTCCGGACAACTTCACGACTATATCAAGCGCATCTAGAGCTGTTTAGCACCATTTAAAGACCATATCAGGACTAGTTTGGGATCTATTCGGGACCATTTCGGAGCTATTTCAGCACGATTCTAGGACTAATTCTGAAAAATATGAGTCTAGTTCAGTACTATGTCAGTACAAGTTCGGTAGTTTTAGAACACATTGCATTGTCAGATGAAAATCTTCTTGATTACTGATATACATACATACTTGTGAACATACTGACATACAAAATTACACATATCATGTGATGTGAAATTATATAATGTGACATCACATCCTGGCATAAAATGAACACTATATCTATAATTGCAAACTAAATTAGTTAAATATTTGCTACTAGAAGCAACAAACAAATACCTACCCATCCAAAAGCATTTCCGGACCTGGCTGGCCCGATTCCAAATTCGAACTTGAGATGCTAGCGAAACCGCTGGACGTACGCGCACCCTTTAGCCAATAGGAGACAGGCGAGGGAGAAGCTTCTACATGACATTCCAGTTGTACATCCGAGCCGAGTGGAGTGCCCAGCAATTGGCTAGGAGCCCGTACCATGGGCGCAACTGGAGTAGAAAGCAAAATAAATGAAAACAAAAAAAAAGCAGCAAATGTAGTATCTATGTAAGTAAGAATGTCCCAAAGAAATATAATAAAGAACAATTAAATAAATTCTTAGCCAATTTCAACTCACATTGCACACTGAGAGAAACCCTTTTGCTAACCGCTGGTGGCACATCATTTGAAGCAATGCACAGATATGCGCCCATTTGTCGCCGCTCCAAGCGTATCAACTTCAGCGATGAGCCACTATAGGACTCCACTACGTAGTAGAAACAGAAAATTAAATAAAGAAAGGACACAAAATGTTACTTTGAAAAAATGCAAAGTGAAATAACCGTGATTGAAGAAGTTTCTCAGTTTTACATCGTGTGACCTGAATGATTTATTGACTTCAAAGTGTCTATAAATAATCGTTTATATACACACGTCTCGTATACGTTTAAACTCAGTACTCAGTACTGACTGTTTGTTGCTCGGTAGTGCCTGGCACACGGTACTCGTACTTGGCTATTGCTACTCTACCCTGTACTTCCCCATTGACTTACCTTTCATCAGTTCACGACTTCCCGTCTTGCGTATTAAAATCATTTCGCCATCTTCGCGACGCCAGATGACGCGCGGCATTGGATTGCCAGTCGCCTTGCAGGTCAATGTGGCATCCTCGCCCTCTTGCACAGCCAAATCAGCTGAGGACTCCTCGTTGATGATGTCAGGAGGAACTGTAAAGCGCAAATAAACAAACGAGGATGTACTCACACATATACACGAACAGATATGTATACAAGCATATCATCAAAGCCACATAAAAATAACAGTGTACGAATATGTATGTATGCATATTAGGGTGGCCCAAAAATGTATGCGAAAAAGTAAAGTCGACATTTGAATGCTCTTATCCTCGAGAGTTTTTCTGTATCAAAAAAGACTAGCCCTGTCTTATTTTGAAAATAAAAAATATTTAGAGATTGCCCAAAGCTTCGGTGTATATGGGAAAAATCGTTTTTTGAAAATTTTTTAATCTAAACAAATTTTGAAGAGTCCTCCTATTGCATTTGGGGGTTTTGGGGAACCATTAAAAAATAATTAACATTAAAAAGTGGTTGAGTAACAGAGGTGCAAAAAATCGAAACTGACATCGATATATAGATTTTTTTAATTTTTGACACAACATCGATGCTGTGAAGAGAAATCGATTAAAATCGAAGAAAGTTCCTTTGCTAGTTGTAAAAGTGACGGTGAGTAGATCGTGCGCTATGGGTAAAATTAATATTATATTGGGTAATTTCAAAAATTTTCGAGACCGTGGTTAAGGAGGCTAAGCTAGATCTTGAGGTACACATACATATATGATATCCATTGCCATTGCGGTGCCATTTCCCAAAAAATTTACTAAAAATAAATGTTTGTGCTAAAGAACCATTGCATATATCAATTTTGAGTAATAGTAAATGGTCAAAAAATCCGAAAGTCCGGTACAAAAACACAAATAAATTCAAGGCCGTATTTTTGCTTTACTTTGACAATTTGCGTGCAATTGCATTACGTAAGGTATAAACTTAATTTAAAATAAATGTACTTTGAGGTTAGTACTGAACACATGATTTCCATCATATCAAGTGGCTTAGGACGAAATTTCTTTATTTTGGTTAAAAATCTCGATCGATGTGGAGCAATCATAGGGGGCAAGAGCACTAAAATTCCGTCTTCATTTTGATTGGACCACCCTAATGTATATACGTATGTTTGTACGAGTGACTGTATGTGCACAAAGTGACGTTGAAGGTTAAGTTGGTTGGAAAAAAATTCGAAGATTATACGTGACTTAAGCGCGTTGCAAAAGTGAAGTGGCTGCTGACTGGTGGCCGTGATGTTGCTGACTTTTCATGGTGCACGAATTATTATGGCACTCGATTTTGCGCAGATAATTAAATAAAGCTGTCGTACTTTGAGTCGAGTTAAATGCTTCTTGCTGGCGTTTCGCCATTTTTTTTTGCAGAATCGGGCAGCTTTGAATTGGTGAAGGAGAATTTAAAATTATTTTATTTATGTTGCTATGAAATTTACATTACAGGTAGTTAATTCATAATTTTATTGAGTGCCAAACTTTATTTTCAACTTCACATGAATGAAAATTTTATGAGCAACTATCGTACGCGAGCTGAGTCGGAGGGATTAAAATGTGGAAAAATGTTAAATGAAATCTGGCTTCATTACTCGTAGTGTGGAAATATCTGAATTGTTAGTTTGACTCCCTAACAAGAATTTTGATAAAAAGCGGACCTTATTGCGGATTGATGGAAGTAGGGGAATTCATTTATGGAGTAGTATTTCACGCCAAGCGGACAGGAGAAAAAGTAAATGCTTTGGAGTTCGTTCATATTTTTGGTAATTATGTTATTTAGATAATTAATCGAATAAAATGTTTGCCATACGTAAAAATAATAAATATCAATAGCCTATTTAAAGTTTGCAGTCGGTAGGTCTATGTCAGCCAGCCCTTGGTGAAAACCTGCGGCTAAGATATGTAAGGCAAAATTATCACAAATCGCTTCGTGGAAAGCCACATTCCGTTCCTTGGTACATACTTAAAAAATATATTTCAGTTCCGTTCAAAGTTGATGTAGCTGCTTTTACAGATATCGGAGGTAAATTGGGCATTATCAATGAACACTTCAAAACCAATCGCCTTTTTTTATTAAGGAAAGCAGAGTAACTTAAATTAGCTTTTTATGCTCATTGCCGATGAGGGTACTTTGACTTTCATTACGGAATCATCGACCTTATAGGTGTTACCTTGAAATGGAACAATTTCCTAATGGGCCTGTAACAAAAGATAAGTTGCTGTCACAAAATTTATTCTTCCTTTCTAAATTTCGCCATCAGCCTTTTTCTTTTCGTCGCTATGCTCCTGATTTTTTAGTGATTTATTTTTTTATTATTTGCTTCAAGGTATGTTTCAAATATAAGTAGATAGGGGTATTCACCAAATTGAGCAAATGACCTGACACTCGGACAAAATAGCTGATTAGCTCCAAGCATCGTAAGTTTTCTAAGTTGTTGCTTGAAGCTAATCAGCTCTTTTGCCGGAGTGCCGGACCACTTGCTCAATTTGGTGAATACCCCTTATCTACCTCCTTTGAGTGGCAATCGCAGTTGAATGATGTCGGCTTAATTTACGTATGCATGAATATCAACTTTTTTTTATCTTACCTTGCACATCTATGCAACCGATTTGCTTTTTCATAGGACTCGTATTAATTTGGCACATATAACAGCCACGATCACTTTCGCGTAATTTGCTGATCTTCAGTTTCCAGGTGTGTGAATCCTCATGTATAACGCTGATTCGAGCATTGTGTGTCACAACGCGACCTTGGAGCGCGAGTACGGTTTGATCAGAGGCGCGTAACCAGCCGACCTGCGGAAAGATGGTAGGAAAGAATGAGTCACAGAGCATAAAAAGGGAGAAATTTGAAGAAATATGAATAAGACAATCAGGAAGTTCCAATAACTGAGTCAATAATAGTAGTGGAAATGCTGTCCGAAAGACACAAGCTCTACCTTCGAGTGGCATGATTAAATGCAGTTTCGTGGAGAGTGTATTATTAAGATACCTCGCGAGATGTCAAACAGAACCTGGTGAGATATTTACAGTGACACATTATGTGCTATGTGCTCTGTGTTTTCTGTTATTTGAGCCACAACACGCCCTAGTTAAATTGTGCTACACCAAAGCTTGGCAATTGCTTCAGTACTCAGCAACGGCTAGTAGGACACCCAGTAACTTTTGTAATATCATGCCTGCGAAGGATAAGGAATACTTTAGTCCACCTATCTCATATTTATAGTGGTGGCTTTGGAATGTGTGTGACTTTCGGAGGGCGCCCATAAATTTTGAGCGTCCTCTTTCGTCAAAATAGCGTAGTTCCGCTATACAGTGCGAAGGGTTCTGGGCCTATAAACCCACGTGTTCCATCTTCCTTGTCCAAAATAAAATTTTCCATATAGCCATTTTGGCAACGAACGCAAATGAGGTAGACCCCTGGAGGCAGATAACTTCGTGTGCTCTTAAGACGTGGATATCGGCTCCACTGCATGTGCTTCTCTGTTTCACCATTATCTGCACATTGTTCCACACAAAATTTTATGGCGTAAGCCTCAGCCTGGCAGTGAAGAGGAGCTTTATTGGTTATAGTCCGTAGAACCATGCACGATGTCCTAGTCGGTCTTTCAGAAATTTAAGCTCTTCCGCTTCCCAGTTGAGTTTGGTTGGGAAGACTACCCTTAGGGTGTGTTCATAACAGTACCTCGGAAGGCATTTAGGAATAAAGCTCACACGTAGGTAGTCCTCTCGCCTGATATATTAAACTGGAAGCCAAAGAGTATACCCGATTTTTATACTCCACGTGTCCTACTGAATCGACTTTTATAATTTTTTTGTTATGCAGAGGAGGTATGATCAATAGCGTATTTTAAGCTGCGGTGGGAGTAGTTCAATTCGTGCAGGTGATACCCATTCAGGCCAGCCTTTGAAGCTTAAAGCTCCCTACGCCGAAACCCAGGTCCCTTTGGTGCTAGCTAGATTTGCTTATATACCGATATGGGCTTCCATGACCACAGACTCAAATATTAACTACCAAGTCAGTGATACTCTATATTTTAATCGTATTGCCGACTTCCAGTTTCGACCGGATAAAAAAGCACACTTTTTGTCGGAAACTTTTTTCTAGAACGGACTTGCTGTCAAGAGAATGCACAAGCGGTCTGTTTAGCCCACCTTCGGTCGAAACCTGAAGTCGGTACGACCAAGAGATAGGGCATTCCCAATTTGATAACTCATAGTTTGGCGTTTTCAAATAAAAAATATTTTTCATAATTTTAGAAGGGGACATGCAGTATAACCATACCGGTTACCTTTTCATTTCGTTTGACAACTTACTTTATTTTTACCCAAATTCCGCACCGAACATGCCAGTATTGCTTCACGCCCCGCTGGATATGTAACATTATTGATGGTGCCTAAAAATTCCGGATCAGGATCGAGCTGTGAGTTCGGCTCTGTAATGTAAGTGTAAACTGAGCAGTAGCTCATATTACTAAAGGCTTCTTTTCCAAAAGGGTTTTTAATATGAGAGCGAGATAGGAAGATTTTTTCACTTACCATGCAAGTTTTGTGATGATGAGTTGGGACATTTGGTCGCCATGAATAGGAAAACGACAAGCAGCGGCTTAATTTGTTGCATTTTTATTGTTGTCGCTTATGAAGTTTTGCTTAAACTAAGTTTTAGCTGGTTTGGGAGATTTTATTGATTCTTTGAAGCTTTTTGAGTTTTATGTGAGCTTCGTTGAGCTTTTTACGAGCATTCAGTTAGATATTAGTGAGCGTTCAGAGCTTTTAAGTAAGCTTTTTGGACTTTATTTAGCGTTTTGGCGATTTGTTGAGCTTTTGTTTTAACTTTTGTCGAGCTTTATTGTAGTTTAATTGGTATTTATTAATTACGTTATCAATAGTGTGTTGATTAGCGTTGTTGAATGAAGTGCTTTGTTTGTTTTCAAGTGGAAACTTTGATCACAGTTATTTTTACTTCAATAATTTTTGCTTGTTTTTTTTGCGTTTTTAAGGGTCTTTGAGTTTATAGTTATCAAAATGACGCTAATTACATTTGCTTATGGCAAAGTGTGCTTTTGGAAATGTTGAAAAGCAGATCGTTGCGTGTTTGATAAAGCATTTCCGGGTTTTCACTTGTTTGCTTTCTGTATTTACAAAGACCAGTAATATTTTTCAAAGCTCTTTTAAAAGCTTTGTTTGTGCCTTTTGATTTTTAATTACGCGCTTTTGCAATGCATTTATTTTCGCCTCCACTCATTCGATACAATCACTTCGGTTTTTGTAGTGCTTCTGCTTATTTCCGCTACTTCTTGATCTACATTTATGTAAGTTCTGCTTTTGCCTTCCCTTTTCCTTTTCCTTCTGTTACTGCCATCACTCGCTCCTCCAAATTGTTTGATTTATGCTCCTGCTTTTGTTTGACACTTTCGCAACTTATAACAGCGGCAACATTTTTATTATTATTCAAGTAGTTTATTGAAGCGCAAAGAAAAACCGCAAAGAACCTGTAAAGGTGCAGAGCGAAGAAAGAAGCGTTGAATAAATTGAGCAATGCTATGTAATACTACCATGTACATATAAGTATGTATGTAAAAGTAGCGAGCCAAGAGGTGCTTAAGTTTGTATTTTTTCCAATTTCCTATTTTATGCCTCTTCTGCGCCCGTTTACCCAAGTGTTATGGCTCAGCCGGCAAGCTATGCTGCGTGTACTATGTGCGTGTGTGTATAAGTGCAACTCTCTCGTGTACGCCAGCTTTGAATGGTAAGCAATTTTAAGCTGACCGCAGCCAACTTAATGAACTTAAATTAAAAACCTTTGTGTGTTTAAGTTTGTGTGAAAGGGTGTTTTCGCTGGCGCGTTTGTTGTATGTGTTTAAATTGTGGAAAAGTGTGTTAAAGTAGCAGAAGGAAGGAAGCAAAATTGTGTTGAGAAGCTGCTAAAGCGGAAAAAATAGAAAAGTTGCGTATTTTTTATTTTTTTGAAATGCCAACGGCAGGCAAGTGGTTTTACGCCTAAGGCAACAACCGTCAAAATATCAGTAATCAACAGCAACAGTTGCAGGGAAACGGAAATAAATTAAAATCAGGAAGGAAGTTTGCTTTATTCGGCTAAAGTAAAACCATTCACATGGTAGCTTTCAGTGGTTAACACAATTTGCGAAAGTTACAGAAAAATGTATTTTCCATCCAACAGTCTACATCTACAGTCTACAATATCTTCATAAAAAAGTCCACCGCGAATTCTAGGGAATTCAGTGAGTACATACTCCTCTCGGAAGACCCCAAAGCCGTGGAAGAGAGAAACGATCTTTATAACATGACAGGGGCTGGGGGAGGTTGCCAATAAGGCAGTGACAATCAGAGAGCCTTGACTTTTTGAGCGTTCGTGAAAAATCTATAAAAAGCACGTAAACAATCTAAAAAAGAGATGATCTCTCACCACTCCTATAGTGCCTAGTAGCTGACTATCTTTTAAAGGAAATGTAAAACATTAATCACGACCAAGATCGTGCTAACGATAGTTTTTTCCAATTTTGTTAAACTTAAGGAGATTTTCTTAAAGTTTATGTGAGCCTCATTCAGCTTTATATGAACTTTGAATTAGTTCCTATTGATCTTTGACCTTGAATAAAACTTTTGAGCTTTGTTGAGATTTTCATTAACTCTTCTCTTGCTTTTTGGTGGTTAATTAAATGTTTTAATAACGCTATTAGCTTTTAATATCAGTTTTTATTTTAAAATATTATAGAACTTTAAGACCTTT